TCCGAGACACTCCAAACACTGCATTTCCGGTTTCGGACCGCACTGGCGCATACCCCCACTTGTCGTGCACGGAATGCACCTTTCCGCCGGAGCAATGGTTCTGTGACACTGCACACACACATACACACACACACACACGCACGCACGCACAAAAGCAGGACATGCGGACTGTACACGTACGTGAAATTCGCGGGTGCGCAGGTGCGAGGAGGGTGCACGTCGAGAGGGCGCAGCACTGCAGGAAGCGTTCAACCGGCGCGAGGGTGTGCGTGTGGGGCATGCACACTCGCTTCTTACACATGCCAAAGTCATTTCGCCAACGTCTTTGAATTGCATGGTTTTTGCCCAGTACTGCATTTGCACGCGCTCACTCCACAGAGAGACACGCTCTCCTGAGACCCTTGCGTTTTGCGCATCGCTCGCTCGCTGTTCTCGCCGATCACGCATTTCTCGTAAATCTGCGCTGCTAGCATGCCTCTTCCTTCGTCCCATAACTGACCCTGCAGCGTATTCCACGAGCACTGCGTTCTCATGGGAACTGTTGCAGATCCCGCACGGCAAACCGAAACCCGACGTATAACCGGAAGAGGAGCATCAACTTCTCTGTTACAGTTGTACACGGAGCGCATTTTATTGTAATACGCTGCATACGTAACACAGAAGAAAACATAAATAAAGCAAATGTATCCAAAATTCAAAGATACTAATCGACCAGTGTGGATCTTAGCTGAAGACGAGCTTACAGACCTCCAGTGCAGCTTAATCTATGAGAACAAATGCAAGTCACACCGTTTGGACGAATTCAGAACGAAAGAATAAGATCGAGAAGATGAACTATGGTATTGCATGTGAAGCTGAACAGAGCCAGGTGCAGCCTGTGTTTCATCCCTTAACTGTAAAGACGAGGCTTTGCTGTAAGAGCGGCAATCAACAGCACAGTCTCCTACCTACCATGAGCAGGATGTGCATGTAACCAGTGCACGAGAGCAGCTGGTGAGAAGACTTACGAAGGTTCCTCGTGCCAGCAGTGGGTCTGAAGTTGAAGACCCAAAATTAGCTCGTTTATTCTGTCACATTTTTGTTCTCATCCGCAAACTAGCCTTGGTTCATGAACGAGTTATAATTTCAGAAGGGGCGCACTGGAAGTGAATGGAAGAGTGCAGTGTACCTGACGGCTCCAGGAGGTCATCGGTGACTTCTTGAGATATAAGCCCACAGGCGTGCAAGTAACAGCAGTCCTAAAATTCTACAACAGCAGTCCTAAAATTCTACTAAGTATATATGGTTATACTGATAAAGGTCATCACAACTTCCTGCATCTACCATCAATTTCTACCTCCGTGATCTGATTTCGACTCATCCTGACTCGGTAGGATTCGCTTATGCGTCTTCATTCTCGAATGACTACCTTCCTGTCAATCGACTAACCTCCCGATGCAGAAGGAAGCTTCGTGGGAGGAGGGTTGTTTAAGCCAATTTCTGAGAGGATATCACACCGCTTTTGTGGACGATGTTCGTCCATCTTGATTCCCCTCCGAGTCACCACTGCTTGGCCTCTGACCTCGCCGATTTATATATGTTTCTGCATAAGTCGATAGGCGGAAGGGTCACCGTTCCAGATCGAGGCACATATCCAAGTTCCATCCGATTGAGAGGTTGGTAGGGTTGTGAGTCTGCAGAAGCAGAGTTGTGTTCAGCATATATTTTTTTTGTCGAACTTCGGGGTCGCTCTTACTTGCGTCTTCCGGGTTATATTTCAAGAGATGACTTCGTGGATCATTTGGTGCACCGCACCGTCTTCCATTTCAATCACAGTTTGTCTCCTCCTGGATTGTAACGAATTTGTACAACCTTTTTTCTTCCTGAGAGGCCGAGCCAACTGGAAGCGTACTTAGCGTGCCAAGCGCACCTTCGTCCAAGCGAATCAACGCATAATTTGAAAGATGACACTGAGCAGCAGCGAGTCCATTATGCTAGGCACGCATTTTCGGGAGAAGACGCACGTGAAAGTCAAAAAGGGAAGGGGCAGTGGGAACACTACAACGACATTCCTTCGCCTGCTCAAAATTTTGCCATAACCGATGCAGTGAAAGCATCCAGTTGTGGCGCTCTCAGTTAAGAAATGTGTAGCTTAATGGTTCGAAGCGTCTTAATCTCAGCCACATTATTTGTATGC